AAAATCACACATCTAATTATTTATCAATTACATAAACATTACATCATTAATTATTTAATTAACCAAAAAAATTACATCTTTATTAATAACAAATTAATTCTTAAACAAAACTATTAAATATAAACTAGGCAAACGTGCATTGCACATTGCTTGCACCTAGTATTCCTATTAAACTCTTACGAAATAACATATTAAAGCTGTATTGTACACTTTCCTTAAAAAGGAAATTAATTAGGCTATCACAGATGACAAAATTTGTGATTAAAGATAATGATTCCTTTCTATTACAGCAAAATGGTCCCCCAGGAGTCATCAAAGAGATGATAGAAATTGAAGTCAATAATTTATGAAGTAGCCACCAATTGTCAAAAACTAAGAGGTTGTTCTCTTTGTATTTCACTTTTGTGTTTTGAATTCATTTTGGATTTTGCGTTTTGAGTGTTTATTTTGAGATTATTAAAAATGTGTTCTTTTTGTCATTTTGAAAAATTGTTTTGAAAACACCCAAAATCCGTTTTGAAATTTTTTTGACTTGATTATAACTTAAAACACCAAAAACGACAAATTTGTCGTTTTATGTTTTTTTTTTTTTGTAAATTTTTAACTTTTTTTCAAAAATAGTAAAGAGAATGCTTTTTCACTATTTTGGAAAATCGAAACGGAAAACGACTTGAAACTGGTAAATAGAACAGACCATAAAAATTTTAACCCTACTGCTGGATATATATACTCTGCCCAAATCTTATAGCCATGCATGAAAAATAAAGGACAACTACGTCTACGTAGGTTTTATATATATAATTACTTCAAAATAAATAAATGCTCTGTATTGGGAAAAAAATGAAAAAGTTAGATACCGGCCGGTTCAATAATGTAGGGTTTTCAAGGCTTAAAAGGGACGATAATTACACCATATTGATTAATTTCTGGAGAGAATTGGAGTTGAGAATGAAGAAAAACAAAAACAAGATAATTATTTGCATATAATTTTAATATATATATGTACTTTTGTTTCACTACAGGAGGAGTACAATAGATTTATTCAAATTTTCATCTTCAATAACAAAATATAAACATAATTCAAAATTCAAGCTAGTATATAAATATATCTACGGTCCGGTCCGGCCTGCCTCACCTAAATTTAGCTATAGATACCCCAAAAGTACATGTAAATCATTTGGTGATTAAGTAGTTGTATCTTCAGCTAACAACAATTTTTCACATTCCCAACCCGCAAATTCTTGACAATAATTTAATAAATTGGCATAAATATTGTGAAAAAAATTATCAACCGGTATAGCCCACTTGATGAATTGGACCGATCATCTACGAGTACCAATTTACGCCAGAAACTTGATAGGGTAGTCGAAAGACCCCATCGAGCATTGCTTGTTGTTGCAGAGAAGGCGTCTGTGGAAGCTGGCTTAAAATGGTTGCAATGGAATTTGTGTCATCACAATTATTTTCTCCAAGAAATCTTTTTGTTGGAGGCGATGGATTCCCATTTCCTTCTTCGATATTGTTGTTCCAGTATAAATTCCTCTTTGAACCAACCATTAATGAAAGTTCTGATTTGGTAGTACCGGATGAAATTAGCGAATCATTGTTCATCGCGACGTCGTTGCTTATCATCCCCTCGTACAAGTTTTGTTCGTTGTCTAGCAATGTTCCATAGTTTGATGCTCCCTTTAGTCCCATAGGTATCGATGGAGGTATCGACATCATATCGTCCCGTTCTTGATCCATAGGCCTTTGCTCATTGTTCTTGTTGTAAATTCGACATAGTACCCAATCATCAAGCTGCAGGAATCAAGAATCATAATATTCGTGATTATCTATCCCCGTCATGTGGTATTCGAAAAAAGGAAAACAAATGAAACAAACAAATTTTTCGGTAGATAATATTTACCCTTAAAGAGCCCTTTTTATTGGCTAAATCACAGCTTGGAGGCATTGAATATGGTTTGTTCTCAGTAAGCCTATATTCATGCATGATCCAATTGGTTTTAATCCCTTTAGGAGGCTTTCCACCGTAGAAAACCAGTGCCTTCTTCACTCCTACTTTCTGAGTTCCTCCGGCGGTCATAACCGGCTTATCAGTACCGGTTGCCTTCCAATATCCCGAAGTCGCCGCCCGATTAGGCCGAACCCCGTTCGGATACTTCCGATCTCTTGGACTGAAAAAGTACCATTCTTGCTCCCCAAACGTAGCCTTAGCTGGAAAAAATTAATAAACAAACTTTCAATATACATATGAAATACTCGACAGAAATAGACGATGAACATGATTGAAATATGTTACTTACCGGGAAGCTCCCATGGATCAAATTTATAGAGATCAACTTCTGCAATTATGGCCACCGGGAGAGGGGTGGAGGCGGCCTTTTTCTTGAGGTAGTGAACCACCAGTTCCTCATCCGTGGGGTGGAAGCGGAACCCCGGTGGCAGATGAGGCTGCTGAGAGCCGGCGGATGATTCTGTGCCCTCCATTAATTTAAAGAACTCTATCAAGATCAAGAAAATATCTTGATTATAATCTTCTGCAGAAAAAAAAATTATTTTGGAAGAAAATACTATAAGCTAAAAATGTTTTGCTTAGCGTTTGGCCACCCCCTTCTTTTATACGGTATACGGACCACCGTATCATGGTAGAGTGACATTAATCAGGTACGATGCATGTATACCGAATTCGATTCCATTTACCATCTTATCGACTTATCCTGTGATCATGATTTAATATGTAGAATTACATAATTAATTAAAATTTTCACACACTTGTTTACTTCAATTAATCTTTGTTTTAAAAAAATTACTTTAAAAAAATATATTTAAAAGCTTTGTGTTTGACTGGTCAATTTGGTCAAAGATTTTTCACCCGTCGATATTTATGATTTTGATGGGGGATTTTGTAATTAGATGAGGTGATTAGTGACTAATGATGCCACTATTAGGGATTAAGAAGTGAAAATTAAGCGAGTACTTTACCGACACGCGTCATTCTTGAAGTGACAAAGAGTCGACAGATGGTGGAAGAGTATGTGGGGGCCACATTATACCACACTAGGATACAAAAATGGATTGATAAGATAAGTGTGGATTATGACTTAAGAAGAAATTTATTCGCTTCTAATGTCACGCTTTTGTCACAAAAAATAAATAATTAATTAATCTCCTTAATTAGGGACAAACTTTCAAATTTCTACAGTGAAATGTTTTCTAAACTTGGTTGATGATGTAAGTCGAATTTTCAGCCTTGCCCATAAGACCACAATAAACTTGCAATTACATAATACAAGTGGAATGTGTATACGCACCGTTCGATTCGACTAGTTAAAAAGTTATCGAACTTACTGATATATTACAATTTTCATATTAGTTCTGCTTAAATTCATGAATAGTTCCTCAATTTTGAACCATTGGAACGACTAGTTAACTTACAAGATATGGGAACGACCATTAATATTGTCTAGACTTGTGAAGTTATGGTACTTGAGATTTCAATGTTGTGACTTCTCTCGAGTCATATGTAACACTAAAACCCCAACTACTAATATCTTTCGAAAATGTTCTTGACAGTAAAAAGTGACGTGACACATTTTAATAAAATTTAAAAAGATTTTTTTAAAATAAAAGCAAAATTTTTTACTATATTTTGTGTGTTCTAAAGAAAAATGGCTAAGTACGTTTCTTGTCTATGAGAGAAATCTGGCTAAGTACGTTTATTGTCTATGATCTCTATCAATTTGTCCCAAATGTGAGAGAAAACCTCCTTTTATATAGATGGGACTTTTCTCATCACCACGCTTATGTTGTCAAGACTACAATACTTTTCCTAGTGAGTGATAAGGTGACAAGGTGGCCTTAGTTGGGGGGAAGGACGGTCGTATTCATAACGATGACCTAGGGCCAACCTCTAACCCTCATATATATGTCTTGTCAAAACTTGCAATTGGCTCTTAATCTTGTCTAGTTCTTCTACAGGTTAAGCCTTTCGTCCATGACCTTCGAACATTGGATTCAAGGATGCTAATGCTTTTTAGATCATGTTTACTCTTGGGGTGGAATGCATGTGCGTTTGGATTTAGACTTATCCGAAGCTGAGAAGCTAGACATTTAAAGGCTGATTCTTTCTAATTTTGCACTCAATAAGGCATGGAAAACTTCAAGAAGTTGTGTTCATGGATTTCACGACTCTTTAAGTCGTAGGATTTAAAGGGTGAAGGATAATCAAATTTCGCCACCATGCTTACTTGCCATGGGGATTCACTTGCTAATAGTAAAGGCTATTTATCCTTTGGTTCCCATAAGCTCTCCATTGAGATCGAGGAGACCATTACTTAAAGGTTTTAAGAAGTTGGTAGGTATTCCCATCCAACTAAGCGTCCTCGCATAGATGATGTTTAAGATGCTCCCAACATTGACTCAAGTTTTCTAAATGTTTACTCAAGCCATAAGCAAGATAACTACAAGCATGCATGGGCGCGGTCTAGGCTTGGCTTCAGACTCACTGAAAGTGAGGAGGTTGTCTTCTAGGCATTTGACATGTTTTAGATGATTCTTATCTTAGTGAGATCAAATATTGATGGCTTTCGAGCACTTTTTCTTCCTTGGTAGGTCCTTAGTGTTGATCGTGTTAAATTAGGATAAGTGGTTTTGCAATTTTTGGCCTTCGCATGATTGCCTCTTACCACTCCTATTCGTTTATGGGTGGGGAGTTTCATGGCGTTGTGAAAAATGGAGGATGTGACCTTAACCTCGTGCAGGATCAATCGTAGAAGGATAGCGTTGTAATCAAATTAAATATCAACTGTTATGAAATCAGCGATGACTCGAACGCATAGGACTTTCTTGGTTTGACTATTAGCTCAATTTGTCCTCTTGCTTCAACTAGTTACCAACGAAACCCTAGAGGGGATTGGGAACTGTTGATATCTACATCTGATCTAACGTCCTTAGACTGAACTCGACTGAACTCCCATTGTTTATGAGGCTCTCATGAATATGATTTTGTCCATTGGCATAGTAATGAAAAAGGCATCTCAATAGGGTTGTAGAATGTTCTAGGCATCCTAAAAATTTTTAAATTCTTCTCTTTTTTTTCTTTTTTCTTTTTGGTGAAAAATGTGTGGTTAAAAATTAGGAAATATTATTTTATGGATCGAATATGCGATTGAAAAAGAATTTAAAAATAATTTTCAAATAAATTGTATCAAACAAATGCTTCTACTTTAGGTACAACAAATGTCATAAGCGAATATGACACATTTTATATTTATATGGATATAGGCTTCGAAACCACTTTTAATTGACATATTTATACTATTTCTCTTATTAAATTCAATTCAAATTATGACTACTTTGTAATTAAAAAAATGTAAAAGGGTGTCTAAACGGGATTAGTGTAAATCTTCACGGGATTAGTGCAAGTGTAAACGGGGTGTGACCAAAATTTTCAACAAGAAATGAACAGTCACAGACAGAGATAAACGGGTGGGGTCTGGTTGAGGTATGTGGGTCCCATTTTATGTCAAATCTTGTAGTCCACTTTCTTATCATCTTTGGCAGCAAACTGCGGCACACATTTTCATATCCCAATCGCAGATTATTATGTTGATGTTTAGACCTAACCTTCTTCATTTGTTTCATTAATCATCATAATTATTGATTATGACACTTTCTTGGTTTTATATCGATGTGGAACTGTTGCATCCATTGGACACAAGTGTTAAGTATTTGATTGACAATTTCAGTTTATTGATGTTTTGAAAATCGACTCACGACTCAGACAAATAATGGGCAGAAGTAAAAGTGATGTAGCTTAAATCTACGAACACAATAATAACAGCTCAAAACGGATTGCACTTCAGAAAACAAACGTCTTTTCTTATTTCATGAACAACCAAAGAAAACCTACAAGACGTATTAGAGTCTTAAATATGAAAAAAAGGGATAACCTACTGGGTCAGCAGTCCCTTAATGGGCTGAGCTACAAATCAAAATAAATAAATACTGAAAATAATGAACTAAGAAACATTAAGTGCCGTTTTAACTTAGCAAACGAATTCAAACGTCCAAAATCCATCATACGTCACGGCGAATGGGGTCATGGGCCCAAAACGGATAATGTATGCAAAAGTTACATCATTTTTTTGAATATCGACCATCCAAGCGTTCCAAATATGCAAGTGTCTGTTCCTCCACACTAACCTCATCAAAAAGATTATATTAGAGTCAAGCACTAATAATAAATTAAAATAAAGGTTTTGAGTGCGAATCAGCTATTTTCGATAGGACGGGCTGTTGGATTAGTACTGCCAGGGGACATTTCATTTTGAATTTTAACACTATAATAAGATCGAAACTTAAGTTTGTTCTCAATTTGTCCAATTGAACTGAGTGATTCGATCTATTTCAACCGGTCACGCACATCACTTATTTGTATTAGGTGGCTTGTGAATTTTTAAAAGACGTGGCACTAATATTTCAATCATATTTTGGACTGATTTAAGTATGATGAATGAAAATGTAGATATTAAAGTGGTTGAGTTATGATACATTTTTGATCTAATTTCAAATGCCATAATTAAAATCTCTGTACTACATTAGTCTTATCGGAATCTCACTCACATTTTCAAGGTTACGCATAATTTTGACGGAGAAAAAGAAAATGATGTGTGAACAAACAAACAAAAATAAAATTAAACAATTATTTTTTTAATTTGAATCACATATTCAGATCATATTTTAAGATAAGTCATCGCAAACATACTATATCGCGTATGTTGTTACCAATGTAAAAGAAACTTAGGTCCTGTTTGGTACACATCATTTTTTTCATTTTCATTCTTCTACTCATTTTCAATTACACATTTTTCAATAAAATAATTGTTGGGAGGAGTTCACAATTAGCTCAAGAGATTCAACAAAAATATATGTGCAAAATAGAGTCTAAATGAAACTGAAATTATGAACAAGAATCTGAACCAAAACTGAATCAACACTAAGTAAACTGACAAAGCATTAAGTCATATGCCAGAATAAAAACTGCATAAATCGAACACAATCGAAGCTGGAAATACAGAACAATAATCTGTAATGCATTCTCAGTAAATCCGAACTCAAGATATAAACCACAAGAATCAGGAAACTACACTAAAGTAGAATAATCTGCACAACCATCAGTACACAAACTGGAACAAAATGACAAAATAGTAAACTGTAAAATGAAAGAACCGTAGCTTTGATAATGGCCGAAACCCACAGGTTTCACTCCTTCAGTTCAGCTCCTCAATCCTCAAGATAAAATGCCACTTTGCTCGAATCACACCCCAAGGTAGATTACAAAGGTAAACACTCAGACAAGCCCAATTATATCACAAAAGATAACTCCCTTCTTCTAACAACACACGGTTCACACAAGAACCAAGATTCTACTCAAGGAAATCACTCAAGATTACCAACTACAGAGAGAATATATGAAATCAAATGAG